ACAGAATGTGTCCCCTCAAAGGGGAGGGTCTGCTGAAGACGGGGGTGTATGAAGTGTGGGGGTCCAAGCCTTCTTTTGGGTGCAGGGGGCACTTCCTTATTCAAATCTCCTTTGAAATTCAGGCCTCGGGGAAGCCTGCGAACAGAAGCTCGTGGCATCAGAACCGGTATTTGAACCGGGCATCACTTTATGTCACCTTGCAGGGCACAGTCTTCAGAGCATGGGGATGGGTCCTTTGGGGTGGTCCAAACATTATTTTGGGGTGCAGCCTGGCCCCAGTGTCTGCTTGTGTGATTGTCCTAGGGTCACTGCACTTTGGAGCAGCTGGCACCAGAACCGTGCTTTGGACCAGGATACAGCATATGTCCCCTCGAAGGGGAGAGTCCTGTGAATGTGGGGGTATATGATATGTGGTGGTCCAGACCTTATTTTGGGGTTCAGAGCTTTCCAACTCACACTCCTTAGTGTTTCTGAATGACTACACAAATAAGTAACAAATAAGGAAGTGCGAATAAGGAACCAACTTCAGCCTCCTCAAGATCTTGTGAAAGCATCTGTGGCAATGGTAGGTTTCATGTGAGACTGTCTGAGATCTTAGCCTTGAAAACGTCTGCACTGTAGTTAAATCATTCCTCCCTCCGTCATAACTGTCCTGACTCTTGACAGAGCAGTGCAGGGATCAGAGGCCACACTGAACCTCCCAGTTACATTTTGTAACTGTTTCAGCTCCAATTTTGGATTTCCAGATAAAGACCAACCCCTTTCCCAACGTTTTTGTCATTGTTTACATATCTGTGGTTTGCATTCCAGGGAGAAAATAAAATAACATTTGGCTTAGATGGAACCCCATTGATAACTTGCATTGTGAAACAACATTAAATTTTGGAGTCACTTCTAAGAGTCCCTGGGATCATACACAGCAATACCACCACTGAACTTCTTCTTTTTGCTTCATTAGCCTTAAAATGTACTTCTTGCAGTGTCAGTGAGATGAAAAGTAATTCTATTACATGTGAATGGTAATAAGATTACTCTCACAGGTAGATCACTGGTGATGCAATGTTCTCAATCACAAATCCCTTCTGGATAGGGACCTTTTAAATTTTTATACATGCTTGCAGTTGCACACCATTGGTGCTTTTCCATACCTGTTCTGACATGAACCTCAGATCATGTAAAAGCCAGTCTCTCTTACTCGACCCCAAGTGTCCCAACTGCCTCAGAGTCTACTAGCGAAGGGAGCTTTCCAGCTGAATGGAGTATGCCTCACTGCAGGAAAGAATAACGGCTGTACGGCTCTTCCAGCATTCCCTAGGACTCTATTGAAGCTATTGAGCTGTGCCTATGTTATTTTGGAACTCGGGTACTGTCAGGATCTGGGCTGTGCCACCAGAGGCCTACTAGGCCCAGGGAGCCTGGCTAGCAGTAAGGGAGGCTGGGCCTACAAACCCCAGAAGGCTTGGGAAGTTTTGGCGCCGATTTTGACCAATAGGGAAGAAGAGGGCTGGGGAATATAGGAACTGGTACAAGAGGGAAAGCTGTTCTTCCCAGGGAACAGAGCCAGAAGGGACTGAGGCTGCTGTGGGGAAGAAAACCCTCATCCTGAGGGAAGGGTGAGTAGTCTAAGGCCACTTGATAGTGAGCTAAGGACAGTATATATTTAGACGCGTTAAGGCATTTGATTTCTTTTCACCCACTTACTGTTATTATTCTGCACCTTGTTTGTTCGACCTCCTATAAAATAAACTATTTTCATTGTTCACTCTGCCTGATCCTCACGCCTATTATTAGGCCAAAAGGGAGGTCTAAAGGCCTGGGAGGGTGCTCTGGGCCTTCTCAGAGGAGCCTGGAAGCAGAGTGGTGGCAGCGTCAGGTGACACCCCACCTGAGCCGTGACAGGTACCATTATAGCAGCCGCTGTTGCAGATCATTGAAATGTCTTGATTTATACCTGAGAGAGGCGTCGTCTGGCAGTTATTTTTTCCACAGTGGGCGTCTTCTGCTGCAGTTACTTTCTGTTTGGAGATCTAAGGACCCTATCTATGTATGGAATTACAGAGGAGCCTACTGTCTGTTTTGAACACATTCTTTTGTAAAATGTGCTTACTTGTTATGAGCAATCTGTTGGGTAAGTGTCTATACATTCTATTGGGTTATAACCACTAACCCTTCTTTGTATTTCAATGAATGCAATATACAGTTTTGAGCATATATAGTTGTGAATTGTGGATGATCTTTCCTTGGTGGGTGTTATTTGTGGCTATGCTTGTACACTAAGGGTTCCCTATTGTTTTTGACCATCTGGAGGTTGTCAACCCTACAAAAGACAGAGGGGAGCTATTGAGGAGGAGCAATGATTGGATGAGTGTGTTATCTGTGGATGAAAGGCCTCGTGGCCATTCCCTGAATGGGATTGTGGAGGTCCCTGAAGATGCAACATAGAAGCAAGGACCTAATTCTATAACGAGTGGAATTTATATAATCCTATACCCTCAGTTTAAAAATAAATGTATTTTGTGTGTTGTCCTCCTATCTTTTTTCAGTACCAACTAAGGAAAATGGTGGAACGATAAATCCGTTGGTAGTGTGCATTTCAGAAGGGACCCCAAAAAGTTTGGGATCATCTCTATAGGGAAAATTAGGCATCTAACCCAGGGGTGTCGAACTCATTTGTTATGAGGGCTGGATCTGACATAAACGAGACCTTGTTGGGCCGGGCCATGTGTGTCATAAAATGTAATGCCAGGTAGCGGAGATATGAACTTTATAAAGGACACAAACACAAAGGGTGTTGGTTTTTTTTACTTAAAATAAAAACATGCTTAAAACATTAGCACTCTTGCGATATTTTGTTTATTTAACAGTGTCTGATAACTGACACCTCTTGCTCTGAATTACTGCATCAAAATGTCTGTGCTCTTGCAACCCTGAGTATGCTGTTCAGCTGTGTGTATCTGTAAGCTACAAACCTATGATGACGCAGCAGCAGCAGCAGAACGAAGAAGCAGCAGAAGACAGGCAGTTCCACTGCGGGCCTGAGGGAAGCCCTGATAGAAGCCCTCCGGGAGCCTGATCCAGTCCCCAGGCCACATGTTTGACACCCCTGATCTAACCTGTTTGCCAGGCCACTTAGACATTACAGTAAAAAAACAGACTATGTACTGAACCCACACTTTCCCTCCCCAATCATTTCTCCCCAGGTGTTTTTCTTCTGGTGGCAATTGCTTCTGGTCTCCTTTGGATTAAAGCAGCCAGAGAGAAGCATTCGTGAAAAGAAAGTATGGGGGGGGGGGCTCAGCACCCCCACCTCACCCCTTGTCAGATGTTGAATGCCTTCTCTTCACTTGATAGGAAATGGTCACCATTTGTATTGTAACATGCAGGTTGTGCCACTATAACATCTAGTTTGGCCAAACATTTTCCCCAGCCTGGCACCAACCATCAAGCCAAAAGCTTGCCCTGGTTTAGGTTTTAGTTGTTCAAAGTTTTACCAACCAGAGGTTTTCCTTAGGGACACAAAGAGTCTGAGGTTTTTGTGTAATAACTGGTCATGTCATTAAGTAGCATAGTGGCTTTATCCTCCACGAATCTGTGCAATGTTTAAGAACATACGCTGGGCCTTCCCCATATCCTGCAGCAATGAGGTCTATTGGGTTCAGAACTGTTGTCTAGAAAGGAGTGTGTGTGTTTTCTGAAGAAAGTTTTCATAGCTTGGATTCCAGACGTTATTGTATGCCCAATGTTGTGTTTTATTTATTTATTTATTTAATTCAATGTATCCCCCGCCCTCCCCTCCCCGCCCTCTCTGGACTATTACCAGTTCTGTAGACTGAAACAGGATGACCAAAAGTGTACATACAATACCAAAAATATGTTCCTAACATTCAAAACTCAGGCTATAGACTCTGTTGAGCATTGACCTTCGAGCCATTTGGGCTACCAGCCTACCTTAATTTTTTCCTCTCTACATGAATTGCTGATTGCTGGAGTTTGTGTTTCACACAGATGCAGAGCCTCAAACATCCTGCTTCGCTGCTATTAATAGTGTTTCTGTTTATCAGGGAAACAGGACATCTCTCTCTTGTGGGAAACTCAAGATTGCAAAACCAATCTATTTGCATTCTCCTCAAATGGTATTTTGAAGCAGGGTACCAAGTGTTGTCCTCCTATCTTTTTTCAGTACCAACTAAGGAAAATGGTGGAACGATAAATCCGTTGGTAGTGTGCATTTCAGAAGGGACCCCAAAAAGTTTGGGATCATCTCTATAGGGAAAATTAGGCATCTAACCCAGGGGTGTCGAACTCATTTGTTATGAGGGCTGGATCTGACATAAACGAGACCTTGTTGGGCCGGGCCATGTGTGTCATAAAATGTAATGCCAGGTAGCAGAGATATGAACTTTATAAAGGACACGAACACAAAGGGTGTTGGATGGTATTTGGATGGTTCCAAATATTGAGTTTTGTGACATTTGCATGAAGCAAAATAGCTCTTCAGGGACATGGTCACTAGAAGACAGGTAGAAATACTGCCTTACAGTCATGGGCCTTTGTGGCAGTGGAATTTTTTTAAATTACACCACCCTGCAACAGAAATAACATAGGGATACCTACCTCCCCTTTCTACACGATTCATAGCTGCTTTCTATGGGGCACAATCCAGACAAAACCTGAGCAGTTTTAAGTCCCACTGATTTTAGTAAATGAGAGTTAAGTATATGCTCGGTAAAGGGCTGATTTTGGCAGGATCAAATTAATGATAAACAGAGAACCTAATGTTTATTATTTTATTTTATTTATTTGTTGGATTTCTATACCGCCCTCCCAAAGGCTCAGGGAGCCTGTGAATTATGTTGCATCACACACCATGTTCAGCTACGGCAAAGAAACTAGAAGCACAGCACATCAGATAAACCAATTGCAGATTCCATAGATTAACATGGAAACAGAGCTTATTCTTAGGAAATTCAAAGTTGGACAGAATCCATTGGAGGATAAGATATTCATATGTCCTCTGGGCCAATATAGGTAGAAAAATACTTTGATCAGGATTCTTTAATATAGTCTCTTTCAGAGGTTTGTGCTAACCCTGATAGCTAATTCCAAACATCACTTGGCTTCATCTGTTCCTGGTGAGGGTTTGGGGTCTTCACTGGGAAGACACTCGTCTTGTGTTCCACAAGGTTTACCAGGTAGCATCTTGGCCGTTGGCTTGGCTTGCTTTTGCCCACACCTCTGACCTTGCCAACAGCTCCCCCAGACTTTGGAGACGACATCCCTCCAGAACTCCATGTATTGGTGATTGCTAAGACTGAGGAGGATTGGCACTGCGGCTGCACTGCCATTGCCTAGGCAGGTGACAATAGTGAGAGTGAGGGAACTTACAGGGTAGTACTCTATGGCTAGCAATGAAATATTCAAGCAAGCAACATATGGAACCCAGCAGACCAAGAAGATGAGGGACATACCAGCAATGCCCTTACAATTCTTCAGTTCCAGCCGCTGCTCCAGTCCCGAAGAGGCCTGGCCTCGATTCACTGAACGAAGGAGTTTTGTAATGTTCTTCAGTTGCCTTCGGGCTACACACAACACTCGGATGCACATGAAGGCCATGGCAAGGATGGTGGGAATGAGGAGTCCATAGGTCTCTAAGTAGAGGTAAGGCATGGGGAAGACGAGGAGGAAGGAACAGTTGAGATCGGGTTGCCACTGGTTCCAAATGAGTGGGAGGCCAGCGAAGGTCAAAGAAGCAGTCCAGGCCAAGAGTATGTAAAAAGCGGCCCAGCGATACACCCAGGACTTGCGGTAGTGTAATGGGTGGATGATGCACACATACTTGGCATAGTGTACCACTAGCAGATTGGCTAAGAAAGAGAGAAAGAAGAAATTGGGTGCGACATGGATGAAGAAGCAAAGGTGGTACCCCCGTTGCTTTTCAAAGGCCAGTTGTGGAAGAGTTGGAAGGGCTGCCCCAGCCAGAAGATCAGCAAAAAGAAGGCTTAGGAAGAACCAGTTGATGGCACCATGGAGTTTGCGGTTGCAGATGATCCCAACAATGATAAAGAGGTTGCCTAAAATGATGAAAGCCGATAAAGGCCGTGTGAGCCAGAACATCAGCTCCTGGTACTTATTCCCAGCCAAGGAATTTCCCATCCTCTGTTCTTTCTAAAATGAAGACCTCCTAATGGAAACGAGAAAACAACCACTTTTATCATCCAACAAAATGAGGGGAATGGGGTGCTAATCAACAGGGTTGGGGCTGTGGTGGCTCAAGTGGTTAAGACGCTGAACTGCAGACCAGAAAATGGGTAGTTCCGCAGTTTGAGGCCCGAGTGCCGCAAGACAGAGTGAGCTCCCGTCTCTGGCCCCAGCTCCTGCCAACCTAGCAGTTTGAAATCAAGAAACTGCAAGTAGACAAATAGGTACCACTTCGGTGGGAAGGTAACAGCGTTCTGTGTGCCTCGGCGCCCAGTCATGCCGGCCACATGACCATGGAAATGTCTTTAGACAGCGCTGGCTCCTTGGCTTGGAAACGGAAATGAGCACTGCACCCCTAGAGTCGGATTCGACTGGCTTTCGAGCAAGGGAACCTTTACCTTTACCCTAATCAACAGGGTTACTATTAGCTGTGCCAATTTTTTTTTCCAGTAGCCTGCAGAATTCGTAGAGAAATTTTAAGTACAGAAGTGGAATCAGTCGAGCATGTAATGTTCCACTGTCGCTTCTATCAGGAAGCTCGTTCTAATATAATTTCCCCTCTACTTAATAATCTCTCAGGGTGTTCCGATACTTTTATTTTCATGTTAAAACCAGTCATGTTGTAATAGTTCTCTGCTACCTAATATTTTTTTATGTAGGTGATTCTTCAGTATGCTCCAGATTATTTAAATAAATATGGTGGTGCAAATGATTTTTTCTAAAAAAATTTCCAGATTCAGCCTCAGTTGTTTGGGAAGGGAATGTAATTGGTGAGCCAGACCTGAACTCCCCCGCCCCATTCTCCAGTGGCATCTTTAAGACCAATAAAGTTTTATTCTGGGTGTAAGCTTTTGTGTGCACGCATACGTTTTTGAACAGTTAGCATGTACATACATGCGTCAAAGTTCTCCCCGTATTTGTCTCCCTCTAGATCTGTAAACATTACATCTGAGGAAGGCATCAGTGGAAGGCGCCTTCTGTTGATGCTCACTCACCTGCCCCCTGTTTGTCACTGCTGCTAGTTTCCTACCACTGGACATCTCTTGTCCTGAAAATCCTGTGGCGTCACTATATAGCAGCTGTGACTTGATGGCCCTTCCCACCACGACAGAGCCTCAGCGGCAGGCAATGTGTTCAACCCACATCTCCTTATTCTCCCGCTAGCACACCATCAATGTTCACTCTAAGCTGTGGAGTCTTGTGAGCAAAAATCCCACTTTGTGAGTTACTGGCATTAAAGTTGTGGGCGAGCAATTTGGCTACTGCCTAAATTAGTTTGCTCTGGAGCCATCCTTCCTGAGCGAAGACAAAACTGTGTGAGCTGGAGGCTAAAAAACTGTGAGCTAGCTCACACTAACTCAGCTTAGAAGGAACACTGCACACCATCCTGTGACCTAGAACAAAAACAACTGCAAGGACTGAAGTTACAAGAAGGTGCATTTCTCTTCAAAGAGAAATCCCACTTTTAAAGGAGGGGAAAAAAGAGAGCACAAGGAATCAATGGCTATATCTGGGGGGGAAAAAATTGGAAAAGGAAATTTGCTCCTCTATAGAAATGCAAGATCTCCCTGTAACGTTACCACACCTGTAGATGGTTGCAGTGTAGATTTTTAATGCTAGAACGCACTATTAGTCTGGGTACCTATGGATATAGATTTCCCCCAATTTGACACATTTTGCCATAATAACTGAATCAGTATTTCTGGTTTTCCCCAATTACAAAGAATCTATCTTCCCTTCCATGTATCTGTCATATGTCACCACCTGATGTTAATGAATGATACAGCAACAGCATTAGGTTTGATACAAGGAGAGACCTGCAAGAAACCTGCGGGGGGAGAGGGGGGCATTTCCCCCACCTTTGCTTCCCTCTCCCCCCTTCTCTGTCAAAGTCCCCTCCTGTCTTTCTGCACCCACCCCTGATCTGTCAATCTTCCCTCACCTCCCCCTCTCACCCCTTCTGCATGAGCTTTCCTCCCGACCCCCTCCTCTAGGAATTCTTTCTCACCCCCTTTCTCCACTCACCCCTCTCTTACCCCACCCCTTCTCAGTCTGCCCCTCTCTTTCTCTCCCCTCTCTCTCTCTCTCTCTCACACACACACACTCCCCATCTTCGGCCTCCTTTTCTGCAGCTTCCTCGTTTTTCTGGCAGTGTGGAGGCTGCTCGCCTGGGAGGGATCTGCTGGCAGCGTCCTCTGCCCCGCGGCTCCAAGGCTGCCTTGCTGGCGGTGGGGAGGCCAACTTATTTACTAGGGACAACTTCCAAGAAATAGGGATTCTCCTGGGTAAACAGGGGCAGTTGAAGCCTATGTCTGTATGTGGGGTGTCTGATCAGTGGGGCACTATGGACCCTGAGTGCTGTGGTCCATGTCTAATGTTTGTTCCACTAAAACACTCCAGGTTTCTGATAACACCTAGCATGCTTGATTCAATTTCAATTTCTTTATTCGGCCAATGACCAGTACAAATCAAAAATAAAAGCTTTACAGTAAAATCATCAGAGAGTAAAATTGGTCTGATCTATTGGCTACAATTAGTTACAATCTCTACTTAAAATTTCTGTACGAATTCTGCAGGCTACTGGAAAAAAAATCGGCACAGCTAATGGTAACCCTGTTGATTAGGGTAAAGGTAAAGGTTCCCTTGCTCGAAAGCCAGTCGAATCCGACTCTAGGGGTGCAGTGCTCATCTCTGTTTCCAAGCCAAGGAGCCAGCGCTGTCCAAAGACATTTCCATGGTCATGTGGCCAGCATGACCGGATGCCGAGGCACACAGAACACTGTTACCGTCCCACCGAAGTGGTACCTATTTATCTACTTGCAGTTTCTTGGTTTCAAACTGCTAGGTTGGCAGGAGCTGGGGCCAGAGACGGGAGCTCACTCTGTCTTGCGGCCCTTGGGCCTCAAACTGCTGAACTACCCATCTTCTGGTCTGCAGTTCAGCGTCTTAACCACTTGAGCCACCACAGCCCCAACCCTGTTGATTAGCACCCATTAAAAGTTTCTTTAAAATATAAGCATCGGAACACCCTGAGAGATTATTAAGTAGAGGGGAAAGTATATCAGAACGAGCTTCCCGATAGAAGCGACAGTGGAACATTACATGCTCGACTGATTCCCCCTCTTCAGTGCCACACAGACAAATCCTCTCCTTCATGGGAGTATTTTTATATCTCCCCTCTAGAACTGCAGAGGGGAGGACTCACCATCTTACCAAAGTAAAAGCTCTCCACTGACTGGGAACCTCCAGGATAGAGAGATAAGGTGCCGGAGCAACAATCAGCATCCTTGATGCAAAAGAGGCAAACATTTAGTCTAGATGCTGCTTCTATGCTACAGAGCAAGTTAATTTCTCCAAGGTGAAGTTATTGTGGGCACCACACCAGAATGATGCCTGAACTTTATTGGTGATAAACCCAGTACAAACTGGGACATTCTCCCCCCCCCCTCTTTGCTCTTCTCATTCTCCCTCCCTCTGTCCTGAAAATCCAGGAATCGGACAGGCATTAACAAACCTTTAGCAAATTTATCAGTCTCTTCTAGTCACAGGTAGCCATCCTGGTTCCCAGTAATGTGATGAGAATGGACACTTGTCAGTTCCTTCTTGCCTGGCTCTTCTGGGCAAAGGCTGGACCATCTTCAGCTGCTATGGCCTCGCACAATAACTTTGCTCACTTCAGAGAAAATGAGCCCTAACAGTCAGCTGGGTTGGGTGTTGCCAAGTGAAACGGAAAGCAGCAAATGGTGCCTGCTGAGGACCAGGAAGACGACTCTTGAGGCTGCGAGCAAACCACCGTGAGAGACGACGGTCTCCCTGCTCCCTGCCGTCCAGTCACACCACTGGAGAGCTGCTGTCCAGTCCAGCTTTACTGAGCTGCCTCCTAGTGGCACAAGACAATGCTGAGAGGTATCACAGACCAGGATACCCATGACGGAATGACCACTTGTCAGTTGAACATGAAGTGAGCTCTTGTCTGCTCAGGCTTACACTTGGGTGAGTTAGTTGCATTGTCTACAGGAAAATCCACACTAGAGCCCTGCAGCTTCTTCTAAAGCATATTTTTACAGTAGGGAAACAACAGAGGAAATAAAGGGCTTAATCTGAGTCAGGCCCGTAGTTAGGATTTTTTTTTTTTAACTCAGGGGGCCTTTAAATAAGTCTGGGGCACTCCGCACACACACACACACACACCCAAGGGAGCACCACAAATAAAACAGAAAGTTGGAAGTTGAGGGGCCTGGGCGGGATGGGAAGTCGGGGGGGGGCAGGCCCCGAGATGCCCCACTGCAGCTACAAGCCTGATCTGAGTGATGATTGAGTGGCAGGGCTTCTAAATCAGTAGCCATGACATTCACCCTGGTTCTTACCCCATACCTGTTCTTAGACATTCAGCAAATGTAACTCACAACTTAAGATATAAACAAATCAAAACCCAAACCAAATTCAACGTTATATTTGCTGTTTGCTATTTTTAGAGTAACTAATCCAAACTTGAAAATCTACTACGGTTGAAAACACTATTGTTGTTGTTCAGTCGCACACTCGAGTTCAACTCTTCATGACCCCATGGACCACATCATACCAGGCCCTCCTGTCTTCCGCCGTCCTCCAGAGTTTGCTTAATTTCATGTTTGCTGCATCGATGACACTGTCTAACCATCTCATCCTTTGCCGTCCCCGTCTTCTTTGACCTTCAATCATTCCCAGCATCACGGTCTTCTCCAGTGAGTACTCCCTTCTCATTGGGTGGCCAAAGTATTTGGGCTTCAGCTTCAGTATCTGGCCTTCCAGGGAACAGTCAGGGTTGATTTCTTTTAGGATTGACTGATTTGATCTCCTTGCAGTCCAAGGGACTCTCAAGAGTCTTCTCCAGCAAGATAATTCAAAAGAATCTATTCTTCGGCACTCAGCATTCCTTATAGTCCAACACTCGCATTCATACATTACTACTGGGAATACCATTGCTTTGACCATATGGACTTTTGTTGGCAGGGTGATGTCTCTACTTTTTGTTATGTTGTCTAGATTTGCCATAGCTTTCCTCCCAAGGAGCAGGTGTCTTTTAATTTCATGGCTGCAATCACGGTCTGCAGTGATCTTGGATCCCAGGAACATGAAGTCTGTCACTGCTTCCATGACTTCCCCTTCTATTTGCCAAGGAGTGATCGGGCTGGATGCCTTAATCTTAGTTTTTTTGATGTTGAGTTTCAAGCCAACTTTTGTGCTTTCCTCTTTCACCCTTAGCAAGAAGCTCTTTAGGTCCTCTTCACTTTCTGCCATTAGAGTGGTATCGTCTGCATATCTGAGGTTGTTGATGTTTTTCCTGGCAATCTTATTTCTGGCTTGTGATTCATCCAGGCCGGCCTTTTGCATGATACACTCTGCATATAAATTAAATAAGTAGGGTGACAATTAGCATCCCTGTCGTATTCCTTTTCCTATGCTAAACCAATCAGTTGTTCCCTATCTGGTTCTAATTGTTACTTCCTGTCAGCTAGCTGTCATGTTTTGCTTGCTCCCTTCTCTGACCCTAGTGCTTTACTTGCTGTTGAACCTGACACTTCTTGACCCTTATACAGGTTTCTCAAGAGACATGTGAGGTGGTCTGGTACTCCCATCTCTTTAAGGACTTCCCGCTCCGGATCTGCGACAAAGGCAGCCCCAACTGTAGGAGAGTCACTTTTCTTCATTCATGGTCTAGAGGGCTTAACCCTGGCATAACAGGTCTCAGTAGCAAATATGAATACTACATGTATATTGTGTCCAAATTCAATGAATATTGACATTTACTGGTAATTCTTGAAAAATTACTAGTAAATCTCAGTTAACAGCCAAATTTATCCTCCTTTCTCTTATTTATGAATAAAGGACAATTGTACCAAAGTGGACCGATAAACACTGACAATAAATTCATGCCACAATCGTATTTAACATTTACTGCTAAATGACCATGCCAATCAGGTGCCTTTGATGAGATAAGACTGATAAGAAAGACTGTCATGTGTGAATACAGAAATAGAGAACTTTTCTTTTTGGCCCCCCGTAGGGGATTTTTTAATTTGCATTTTCTAAAAACTACAACGAAAATAGGGAGGGAATCTACAAATATAGGAGAAAGGAAAGAAAACCCACTAAAAACCCAAGTGTTGGAGGTCATACACTGCTTATAAAAGTATTAGCTTAACAATATAGAAATTGCCTTTCTTAACATTGGAAATTGCTTTTCTTGACATTGAGAGTGGCCAATCATCATCATCGACTATGTTAACAAACCATCAAATCTGACTATATAGAGAGCATTACAGGAGAATCGCTAATTCACTTAAAAACAAATTTCAGAGAACAATGGCATCTCATTTTACATCTCACTTGTTGCTTCTGCTGCCTCGCCAATCGCCATTTTTAAGTATGTTTACTTTTTTCAAAATTTGCCAAAGTCCCGAAAATTTGCCCAAACACTTGTTTAACTCCTGGGGTCTCTCTACTACAGTCTATTGTCATTTAAAACTCCGTCCCCACTGCAGTGGCTTTTCTTTATTTGCTTATTTTGTTCTTTCCGGGGGAGATTCCCCCCTCCCCCTTGCTTTAATAAATGGGGACTCACTCATTTTCTGGTTTTCTTGCTTTAACAGACTCACTGTTTAACGTCTGATCACTCTGATCTCACCAGGTAAGGATTTTAACGCTGTACCTCCAAGCGTTTTTTCCTGGTGTGTGTAGCTTAGTCCCATTTGGGAACGCAACGCAGAGACCTTCGGGGCAAAGGGAAGCCTCAATCTGCTGGCAGTGTGCCTGCAGAGCAGCGCCCCTCGGTGCCCCATAGCAAGGGACTCATCGCACGAGTCCCAGGGGGGTGCGTACATTTGCACCCCCTCTCAGTGCACTCATCCACGGATTGTCCCCCAGGAGCTCCCTGGGGAAACGGCCGCCATCAGTCCACCAAAACCGGAAGCCTCTGTTAGTAATGCTTTCTAAGTCCCATTTGACTTCACACTCCAGGATGTCTGGCTTGAGGTCAGTGATCACACCGTAGTGGTTGTCAAGGGCATTGGCATCCTTCTTGTATAGTTCTTTTGTGTATTCTTGCCATCTCTTCCTGATCTATTCTGCTTCTGTTAGGTCCCTACAGTTTTTGTTCTTTATCATCATCAGCTTTGCATGGAACTTTCCCTTGATTTCTCCAAATTTCTTGAAGAGATCTCTAGTCCTTCCCATTCTATTGTTTTCCTCTATTACTTTGCATTGTTCATTCAGGAAGGTCTCCTTATCTCTCCTTGCTATTCTCTGGAAATTTGCATTCAGTTGGGTAAATCTTTCCTTTTCACCTTTGCCTTTTGCTTTCCTTCTTTCCTCTGCTATTTGTAATGCCTCACCAAACAGCCACTTTGCTTTCTTGCATCTTTTTTTTGGGGGGATGGTGGTGATTGCTGCCTCCTGTACAATGTCACAAACCTCCGTCCATAGTCCCTTAAACCTATTCTTCACCCCCACTGTATATTCATGAGGGATGTGATCTAGGTCAAACCTGAATTGCCTAGTGGTTTCCCCAACTTTCTTCCGTTTAAGCCCAAATTTTGCAATGAGTAGCTCATGATCTGAGCCACAGTTAGCTCCAGGTCTTGTTTTTACTGACTGGATACAGCTTCTCCATCTTTGACTGCAAATTATTTAATCAACCAGAGAAAGACGTAGGCCCACGACCAGAGAAAGACGTAGGCCAGCGTACCTAAGAGACTTTGTATGTTAGGGTGTCTTGGAACTTAGGGGAGAGGGGTGTTGTGTACTAAGGATGATTCAACCCTAAACTAGCCCTGGGGTCAGGTTGAGCTTGCGCCCACAAAACAATAGTTGGTAAGAATCCTAGACTGGACCAGTAGAGAAACAATGTAATGTAAATAGTTTATCGTTGGGAGTGGGAGTGTTGGGGTGTGAGTTTTTTGCATGCTTAAAAACCAGGCTTCTACCTGGGATTTTGTCTTCCTTCTCCTTGCTGAAATCACTAATGAAGTAGAGCTGGTCACTGTACTTAGGATCTGTGCTGTGCATCCATGGAACCCACTATTTAACAGGGTTAAACCCATGGGGTTTTCTTGGCAAAGAGACTGGAGTGGGTTGCCATTTCCTTCTCCAGTGGATCATGTTTTGTCTGAGTTCTCCGCTGTGGCCTGTCCATCCTGGGTGGCCCTCCACAGCATTGCCCACAGCGTCATCAAACCACGAAAGCCCTCTTGCCACGTCAAGGCAGTGATCCATGAGACAGTGAGAAACATTAGGGTATGGCTATCATTCTGGAGTCTGTCTGTCTGGTATAGAGTTCCAAAAGGTCAGAAGGGGGTCAGGAAGGAGTGACTCTGCAGATACATTTCCTAATAAGCAGAATTACACACAAGTCTTAGTACCAAAGAGGCCTGCAATGATAATTCTTTCTTTCCGAAGCACTGGTTACATCAAACCATTTTTGACTCACTGGCTGGGAAGGGGGTGGGGGGTATAGATTTTAACTCATTTGTAAGGAACACAAATTTTGGAAGGAATGACAATTTTCCTGTGTGAATGCTATTGTCATAGGGCTAAACAGCATAAAGCTGATGGCCAGAAGGGAAATAAATGTCATAAAGACATTCTCCGCAATGTGGCCCCCTGACCCAAAAATATCCCTCCTACTTACCCGTAAACATTTTTTCCTTCTTATTGGGATCACTACACTTTGATGTACACTATGCTAAGGGTAAAGGAAAAAGTCAGGAGAATCTGACCCACAATTCAAGCAGTCACCAAGACTTGCAAAGAAAAAGCTTCCTATGTATTATAATCTAAAGCACTACAACATCATTAATAAACATAATCAACATCGTCTCCGGATTACATAACAATGTTTCTATAATGGAGCTTCCTGAGCAGATATTCTGTAGTGTAATGTTCCTTTTGTTATGAAAAAATATAAGGCATTTTAATTTACAGAGTATTTAAAAAATGAAGCCAACCTAGTAGTAACTTACACTACATTCAAATAGGACGCTGATCTCAATAAATGTTCAGGCTCAAATATACTGCTAAGTTTCTAAATGGATCCCGGGCGTCTCCCTCTAGTGATTCCAAGCAAAGTGTAATTAAAGGGACCTTGCATATTGCTGATAAGTGTGACTGCATATTGTGATAAGAGGCAGTACACTTAAAGAAACATCACATAGTAGTTTACAAAAAACAAAGTAGTTTACAGAAAACATGAAAGGTCAATTTTTGCATTTAGTCCATTATTATATTACAGATTCCTTATGACTTGTTGTAAAGCACTTCATGAATACAGAGAGCTTTTGTACTACTCTGTAAGTAAGACTGTACCAGGGTTTTATACTGTTTTCTATTGTTTATATAGTATATACTCTAAAGAATTGTGTTTTTGTACACTACAGAATATCTCCTGAGGAAGATCCATTATTGAAATGTTGTTATATAATCCGGAGATGACGTTGATTATGTATCTATGCATAAAGTTTTTCTTGTAGTGCTTCAGATTATAATACATAGGAAGCTTTTTCTTTGCAAGTCTCGGTGACTGCTTGATTTGTGGGTCAGACTCTCATGACTGTTGTCTGTATAGTTATTTTCTGATTGGGTTGTGTTTGTCCATATTTATCTTGCAATATGCTAAGGGTGCCTTCTTTCAATGACAAAGCAAGAGAAGAATTTAAAGACTACTTCCCAAATCCAAACTGACCATTCTGGCTGACTGCTGAGTTCCCTTGCCTCACCAGCTCTACCTCCAAATCCTAGTAATTTCCCAACCTGGAGTTCGCAACCCTAAGTCTACATTGGATATTGAGGACAATCTGACATCTCTAAGGCTTCCAAACTCGGGGTGTTGTTAAATATCAGAAGCACCATTGAGCCAGCAATACATTTGACTTCAGTGGAAGGAAAGAATTCTAGAAGGGCATTTGCTCTAGCTAGATGTTCTGCCCTTCCGTCTGCGGTTATGCAAGGCAGGTACATTAAAAACCCCTATTCTGAAAGGCTATGCCGATGCCTTTTCAGCAAGGTTGAATCGGTTGAGCATATGTTCTTCAGCTGTCCATTTTACAGGGAGGCTCATCTTAAAATTATTACCCCATTAGTCGATAGGACACCTGGGCACATTAACACAAACAAAGCAAGGCTTCACTGGCTCCTGTCAGATAAGAATGCAGAGATGACACATTCAGTCGCTGAGATTTTGGCCTCCAAGCCTGCTCCAGTTGTACCCATCAAAGGTTCTTTCTGGCTCAGAATGGATTTTTAATTATTAAAATCAATTTGGCACAAACTACTCAACAGGAATCTCAATCTTGTAGCTTCTGGAAAAGGTGAGAATTTCAATAGCCATTTCCCCAAGAATTTTCCTCTCCCAGCTGTATGTTTTGGGCAATGAAAGAATATGTGAGCGAGTGAGTCTATAGCTGCTAATGGGCAGTCACAGTAGCGTTGGTTTGCTGGAACACCAAATGGACGCCACGCGAAAATGTTCACCACTCCGTTTAGGGATTAAATACCCTACCAAACACGACACACCACACTATCTGTATGTACTGTCCATCCCCAAGCTGAGGAGAGCATACATGGTGGCACGCTGCAATGCTTTTCCATCTGCACAGATGAATTATTAAAATCAGAAGATCACACCAATGTGTTTTTTTTTACTGTTAAATAAGATCCGACCAATGGTCAATCTAGGCCAGAGTCTGGTTTCCCATGGTTGCTGACCCATGCCTTGGAAGACCCACTGCGGAAGCATAGAGGCTAAGGCCTCCCCCTGCTGCCGCTCCCCTTCATGAACCTTTTCATGCATAAGTCATCCAGAAAGAAAATGCCCTTTACAAATTATGACCGTGACAGGATGCTGAAGAGGGGTAACTCAATGCTAGGACCGTATTTATTGTAAGGAGCGAATTTGGAATTTGTGCAAGTAATTCTGTTAACATTCCATAGACTAAAATACACATTAACATTTTGGCTTGGTGAGAGGGCCGGATAAGGAAGCTACTGATTATTATTACATTGAACAGGCTCTGTCAAAAGAAAAGACATGACCACATAGACAGTGAGGAATTTCACATTACCCTTTTTAACCTGTTTTGAAACCGTTTTTGATCCGTTGTGGAGTAAACCGGTATAGGGCTGCCATTTCACACATGGCTTTCCCCTTCCGGTAAAGAGCTGGATCTTCAAACTGCACCGCTTTTCCCCTGCTGTTTTTCACCCGCGTGGGCGATCTACGGCTTTTTTTTTAACGTTAATGCTATAGTGCTATAACACAACACTCCAGGCATTCCAATGGGGTTGATATAATGCAGTTGTGTTATAGCATTATACCGTTATAGCCTAAAGCGAACGGTCCCCCCCAAAAAAGCCGGAGATCGCCCGCGCGGGCGAAAAGCGGTGGGGAAAAGCGCATCGGAACTGGGAGAGAAAACTGAAGACTACTTGGAAGCGGTTGACAGGTAAAATGCTTCAGCCCCGTTTCCTAAATGGGACAGAAGCATTTGTGTGTGAAATTACAAATATATTCCGGTAGGGAACCGGTTCTAAAACGGTTCTGTCTGAAATGACAGACCAGAAACCGTTTGGGAACCGTTCCTCTTCCAGATTATATCATCTGTCTGAAATTCCTCAATGACACAGCAACAGCCCTATGTGAGTCACTGGCTACTGAAGAAGCAAGTTCTGGTAGATGTAGGATAGCATATGGAAAGTGTTTTCTACTGAGCAGGACCTGCAATATAGAGAAACAATGTCTTCTGTAAAGCTCAAACCAAAAGCCGGCATTTCTATGTGCTCCTAATAACAGAAAGTGCATAGTATGGAGACTCAAGGTTCCTGAGATAACTGCTTTGAGAAGAGGATGGGATTTGAGAGAGTCGAGGCTAAGAAATAGGACTCAGGTACTCTACCAGAGAATTGGACAGTTGTAAGCCTGGGCTTTTAAATTTTAGTCCTTCTCAGAAGGTTCTAGTGGATTAGGGCACATGATGGGAAGCACACATCAATCCCATCCTCAATCCTTTTTTAAAAGTTGAGTTTTACAAGTTTAGAAATCAGGACCTCTAGGTTGTAGACTTGTTCAAGTTCCTTCAGCTCGCTTTTCTTACCCTATTATCAGTGCTGTGTTGTACGCCAAAAAGAACATTTAAAAGCTGGCTAGTTCCTTCCCAGCATGACACTGGGCTGGGAGAGGGAGCAACTAGCAATGCCAGTTGCCAGATGTCTGGACAAGATAGGAATTCAGCCTTGTCTAGTGTCCAAGAACATTTTCAACCGCATCATAAAATGTCCAAGGGCAAAATATAGTATATAATGCAGATTCTCAATTTCGACCTCCTACCTCCTACCTTCTTCACCCTCTCTACAAGTTTATGAATTTGTGGGTTTGGGACAATTCTGTTTATATGTGTAGGAGGTCAGAACCTCCGGTGTCATCGTAAATTAAGAATAATCCTATGACGCATATCCTGAAAGGAAAACAGCATCAGAAAGAACAGGGACTAACCGCATGGAGTTTCTCTGGCACCTTAAGCAAGAAACGGGGGCAGATTATACTATACATTTTATGGCATTCTGCTATGAATGTTACAGGGATGCCTCTCCCACACCTGCTTACCAGTAATAGCTTGTAGGCTTAGAGACAGGAGACCACTGCTTGGGCATTAAAGAAGAAAAGATGTGTGAGAGAGATCATAAATTAGAGGCTTTAAAATAATTGTTTATTTTGAACACTCTAGTCAGCTGCCCTCTTGCTGGCTCTCCTACTTCTCCGAGAAGTGACTGGCCTCTGAAAGAATCTTCCCATTCTTGGTCTCAATAGTCTTGATCAGCAAGGGTCTCTTCAGTGAACTGTTGTTGATATTCCCAGCGACCTTGCTGTAGGAAGGTTGTGTCAGGAGCCCAGCTGCATAAGCAATGGATGGGTTTAGAAATCTGGGTCAAAAGATCAGAAAAGGATGGCTTTAAGGAAGAGACTCCTGATTACCCCAAGCAATTTGAGAACAGCCACAGGATTTGAAGCTAGGATCCCATACAAGCAAGGAGATAGAAGGCCTGTCTGTTGTACTGCACAATTTACATAAATTTGCTTAGAGAGGGAAAGGCAGCCCACAGACAGAAACTCAGCATTCTCTGATTGATAGGAAGATGCTTTCAATAAACATAGAGTAAGTCATGAAACAAGGATACTACTGGGAAGAGTTTTGTGTGCCCAAATGCTCTCACATGTGTATTTCTCTTCTTTCATCTCTATTGGACTATGCTAGGAAGTGAATACTAGCACAATGAGAGAGAAACAGAGAAACGGGGAGGTGAAGGAGAAAGAGCGGATTAATATGAATGCCTGCCGCTCACACTCACTGAGACGCCTTTTTTCTTTTTGCAGTCACAGAGATTCATGCTGTCCCCATCATGTGAATGAGTTCACTATACTTCTGCCTATCGTGGAAATAAGCCCTATAGAGTAATTTCTTGCACAAATGAAGGAAAGGCAAAGAGCCCTGACCTTCACCTATAAATCTTTCTCCTGAAAAGGCAGACCTCAGTGGCATGCAGATGTATGTACCTACACCTGGACACATGCGCAGGAGCAAGACTAGAGCCAAATGTTCACAGTTTATCCCTACCGATTTTGAATAATCCACATTAGGCATGGATACAAACTGGCTCATGAACTAAAGTTTGTGACAAATTTTGGCTGGTTCATGGGCAGGTCAACCAGCAGGAACGTTCCAGGAACCTTCAAGCAGGTTGTGGATGTTTGTAGCAGTTCATGAATGGATACATTTCCAGACAGTCTCCACTCAAACAAAATATTTACCAAACTTCAAAGCAACCAGGGGAGGGCAGAATTCTCCAGCCTTGGAAACACTCCTGATAGTTTCAAACTAGTCTTTTCCTTTTCAAGAGAATTTCCCCCCTTGCTAGTGTTTCTTTGTTTTCCCTTCCCATTTTCTTGCACACAGCTAGGAAACCCCCTCCTTGCTTGGATTTGTTGTGACTCTGTGCTTTGAGATCAGTCCTTTCAAGCTTGCAGTGCCACAGTGGCACTGGGTTCTGCTGGGTACACTGAACTGATTGTGCTAGGCTTATAACCCCCCTCTTGCTTTGATCATGATTCTGTACTCCATATTAGTCATGTTGAGCTGGCATTGCCACAACAACACTGGGTTCTGCTGGGCACTAGTACATTGCACTGGTTCTGCTGTGCTTGCACCACCACCACCACCACCACCACCCTGCTTGGACTGTAATTCTATGCTAGACATCAGTCCTGTTGATCTGGCATTTCCACAATTGCACTGGATTCTGTGGGCACTCTTTGATTGCACTGATACTGCTGGGCACTGTATACAGTGTACTGGTTCTTCTGGGCTTGCAAAAATGCCCCCCACTTTCAGTTTCTACTGCAGAGATTCTCAGGGACTTTGATTTTTTTCTGCCGAGCTTCTATTGCCCTTGCTTTTTTGCTCCACCCCCCTGTATTGAAAACAATAGAGGATGGGAGCACCTTCTTTGGGGGGCCATAACATAGACCCCATAAATCCAATCCTCACCAAACTTGGAGAGCAGATGGAGGAGAGTCATTGTAGATCCCCTGTGCATTTGGTGTCTCTAGCATGCTGGGGGCTGTTCTACCACATCACAAACCTCATGAACTGAGCCAGTTTGTTTAGCTCCTAAAAATTCATGATGGTCCAATGGTTTGCAAAACGGGCATGCCATGAATCACGAACCAAACTGCATCTTCCCAGTTTGTGCCCATCCCTAGTCCACATGTGCATGTTGAAGTCTTTGACATTTTTACTACAATATCAGTTACAACAGTGCCATCTTAAGCAGATCTACTCAGAATCCTACTCAACTCTACTCAATAAGACTTACTTCCAGAAATTGCACTGAAAATATACCTTGCCTTTTAAATAGTGACTATTCTACTTCGGTACTTAAATGGGGATATGAATACTTATGTAATTTCCTATAATGTAAAATAATTTAGTGCTAATTTTTAAAACCCTTTTTCTTCTAATAAAAGAATATGTTTTTAAAAGATTACTTTTAAAAGTACTGCATGTACTAGACTTGTTGGCACCTCTTTATCGTTGATATTTTTTACTATATTTGGAACCACCCCAAATCAAAACCATCAGATGTTAAATACTGAAATCAAATGTTATTAAATATAAAATACCATGAGACATTCAAATATTTTGAAATATAGATACAATGGACATCAGAATTAGCAAATGGAAATTATGGGGAGAATTTGTGGGAGTCTCTAGTTCTACTCCATTCATACTCAGACACAAGGTTAAGGAGACCTAAGAAACTAAGAAAGGACTCAAAAGAAAACTTGCATGGGAACAGAGATGCAGCAACAGTATCAGGAATCTCCATAGGAAGAAGGACAGCAGAAGAGCACCCTTGCTACCATTTTGCCTAGGGCCTAGAGCTTGTACTCACCTAGCTTGTCAATAGCACTAAGCTGAAGACTTGGAGCCTGGCTAACCATCCTAAGAGATAAGAGAAGGAGATTACAGATATCAGACAGGGAAATGGAAATACAGGCTGTACACCATTCTTTTGTCATTGTGAGCACCCTTCGTTGCAGTTCCCCTCAGCATTGCCCCAATCTTTTGATACAAGCTAATATACAAAAGAGGGGCTGCAGTGGCTCAAGTAGTTAGGATGCTGAATTGCAGACTGGAAGGTCAGTAGTTCAGCAGTTCGAGACCCGAGTACTGCAAGACGGACTGAGTTCCCGTCTCTGGCCCCAGCTCCTGCCAACCTAGCATTTCGAAAGCAAGAAATTGCAAGTAGATAAATAGGTACCGCTTTGGTGGGAAGGGAACAGTGTTCCGTGCACCTCGGTGTCTAGTCATGCCGGCCACATGGCCACGGAAAATGTCTCTGGACAGCGCTGGCTCTTCGGCTTGGAAATGGAGATGAGCACCGCATCCCTAGAGTCAGATTCGACTGGCTTTCGAGCAAGGGAAACCTTTACCTTTACCTAATATACCAAAATGACCACCACCCCCACTGTCATGGTAGCACCTGTGTCTTACTCAAAGTTCTTTAAGGGTCAGCTGAATTTGTTGTTGCTGCTGTTTTTGAACCATCATACTCTCCCAGTGCTAGCAAGTAGTACTTAGAACTTTTTTCAGCAGGAGACTCCACACTGTAATCTGAAAAGTGCTTTTGCTAAATACTCCATTAAGGATCCAATGTCCTTGTGACCTTTTTCTACTCTGATTGTCTGCAACATATTCTTAAACTCTGAACAAAGATCAATCCAGTTCCTTGACCCATTTTTGTCTATACTGTAATTATCTGTTCTGTTCTTATACGGTCGTCCTCGAGAGTGATACCATGCAATCAAGGGTTGCCAGCCAGCAGCTGGCAGCCAGTGGGAGTCGGGGGGGGGCAGAGACATGGGGGGGCACTGTTGGTGCTATGACATTGTGTCACTTTCAGGGCAAATCTTTTACCATAGAGTTTCCAGGAATTCATAGGGAGTCATGATGTCACGGTGGGCAACAGGAACTGGGGGCAGGAGGTCTCCCAGCAGGTACCCGGCCACCCTAGTGCAACCCTATGCAGAATGAGTCCAGTTTAAGCCTACTGAAATAAACGGGTTTGGGTTGGAGTCACAGCGCGTAGGACTGCAGTGATGGTATAGGTGTAGATCACACAGCTGCTGTGTTCCCTTCAAGCTTCCCCATTTTCCCTGGATCAAATGGGCACAGGGTTGCCAAGCTGCGCTGGTGGGAGCTTCAGGGGCAAGGACATGGGAGAGGGCAGTGTCCTGTGTGTGCCACCATGTAGCCATTTCCAGTGATTCCTAGAGCTACCTAAGAGGGCAGCTAATTTTCAAACACGTAACGCTCATAAACAAGCAGTTCAACCAAAGTTTGGATTTGCTTTCTCACCGGTTCTCCTCGCCTTCCAGCAATTTTCTGTAGGTAGCAATTTCAATATCAAGAGCAAGCTTGATGTTCATCAGCTCTTGGTATTCTCTCACTTTGCAGGCCATGTCTTGCTTGGCACGCCTCAGTGCCTCCTCCAGGTCTTGGATGGTGCCCTTGGCACTTTGCAGAGCTTGCTCCCCTTTCTCTTCAGCCAGTGTCACAGCATTCTCCAGAACAGCTCGCTAGGCAAGAGGAGATAGTTGCTGTGAGCAGCATCTTCATCTCCACTGTGCTACTGGGAAGCCATGTGCAAAACTCGCAGTAGCTAACAGAACTGGGCACACATGCAAGCCTAAAGTATGATCTTGATGACTGGGTTAAATCTCTTGCTAGAGCACAACAGGGAAATCCTGCCTGCTAATGCTGGGACACAATTTTTTTTTTAAAAAAACCTCCAATTCAGAAAACTGCCCAAACCACTTTCAAGAGAAGTCAGTGCTCTGATAAAAGATCTATACTAAAAGCTGAAGGTTTTCTCCTGGCCAACAGGTTTCATCTAATGGTGTACTTTTCTTTGCAGAGGATGTAAACAGTTTTTAAACTGCAATCTGATTGACATCTATCCCCTAAAGAAAAATTACCCCCTTATTTGCTTCTTACAACTGCTACACTTCCTTAGTCAAAATGAGGATATCTGCAGCCAGGCAAATCAAAGCCTGAACAGAACTGTCTTAAACTATAGCCAAAGATAAACTGGAAGAATACATTCAACATGCAGAATGGATTTGGGAGGCAATCTGGCTTTGTCGTGTTTTCCCATACATTGTACTCTCCTCCGTATTTTGGTTCATTTTGTATCCAGACGCAGCTCACCTGGTTCTTCAAGGCTTCAATCTCCCCATTAACACGTTGGGCATAGCGAGTTAGTTCAGCAATCTCCTCCTTGACACTTTTCAGCTCATCATAGTGCTTCTGAGACTGACGAGACATTTCATCAATCTGGGAGGTGAGGAGAAGATTCAGGAGAGTTCAGTCAACAGTAACACTAGGCCAGCATACGTAAAGATGCAAGACATAGACACCATCTTAAGGGATACCAGAGCTTTTCCACTGACAGGCTGACAAAGGTAGGAATCACCAACTGGAGCCTCACGGGCCAAACCTAAGCAGCAAAGCCGTTTGTAATATGTGGAAGAAATATAGTGCGTATAGTTTCACTTGTAGGTTCTGGGAGCCAAAAAGGTCTACACTCCAGTACTGCGTATTTTGGAAGATTTGTATCCCTTGTCTGTAACAGATAGCTTGTGACTTACTGTTAGCTTGCCGGCTGCTGCAGAGTAGCTTAAACAAGAAAAAGATTGTGAAAAGATTTGTTCTAGCCTTAAAAAACAAAACAACCCCCCCCTTTTATTTAATAGGATTTTTCTCTGTGCTGCTTAGCTAACAATTTCATTTCTGGTGCTTTTCCTAGTCCATGTTTTGTTTCTTGTTAACTTGTTAGCATGATGGGTGGGGTGGGGATAGGGGAAATAACTTGGGATATTTTTCATTACTCATAAGTAGCTTGCATGACAGAAAAGTTGTCAACCCCTGATTTATCTATCTATGCTTCAACTATCCGCCTTAGCTAACAATTTCATTTCTGGTGCTTCAACTATCCCCTAGCATATGTGGACCTTCACGGTAAAGCTATTACTACTAGATAGTGCCTGACTACTGATGAAGGGACCAGGTTGTGCAGCAGTATACCCTGCAGGTTCCCAGAATAATGGAGGAAGGATGCCCCCCCCCCCATAATAGGCCTTGCTGTGATAAAGAGATGCAGGACCCTTGGATTAACACACAGGGATGCCCTGTTCTCACGGAAAACATTCTTTCCTGGGAAATGAAGCAATAGAACACCTCAGAATGAAGTCTGAGAAATGAACTTCCTTTATGGAGACAAACAGGCAGGTGGAGAAACCATTTTGCCACCTGCCAGAAAAGGGCAAGGCAGATGGCTATTGGGATATCTGAGTTGGGTCATAAAAATCTTGGGAAGTGCACATCTTAATTTGATTGGTGAAAGGGTGCAGAGCAGTACACCGAGGTCCTACTCCAAATTTCATGATAGGTGAAACTCAACCAGCTGGAAGGGTTAAATGGTCTGGGCACCCTCTCAGAAGCATGTAAGCCATGGTCTGGGGAACACGGGGAGCAAATGAAATGAAGTTTGTCTTGACCAGGATCTATTTGCAAAGTTCCTGCAGGCTTGCATCTGTAAAGTTCATCAATCAGTTTCACTTTTTAAATTAGTTCCAGATAGGGTTGCCAAGTCTCACCAAAGTAATAGCAGGGGAGTCCAGGCCCCTCTCCAGGAGTCTTTGTGCACATGTGCCATGATGATGTCATCACACTGGACACGTCACCGGGCGACGCTCTGGCAATCACCCTAAAAACTCTATGGTCCCATAGAGTTTTCAGGGCAAATGCTAGAGCATCACAAAAACTCTATGGTCCCATGATGACGTCACTTCCAGGCAACGTCATTGCACCAGGCACGTCGGCCTGATCTGGCCACTTTGGGGGTGGGGTTCCCCCTGCTGGCCGGATCCAGACTGGTGGATTGGGGGACCGGGGGGACTTGGACGCCCTAGTTCCAGAATACTAGAGTCTGGAGCAGTTCCAGTCCAGTTTTTACTCATGTGTCTCTATCAGGCTAGATCAGGGATCCCCTACCTTTTTGAGCCCATGGAGACCTTTGGAGTTCTGACAGAGAGCGGTGGGTACAACCACAAGTGACTGTCATAAAATGGCTGCCCCAGGAGGTGGAGTGAGCCACAAAATGGCCACTGCAATGAAGATCCTTGTACTACAGTGGCAGCTGCTGCCAAAGCGATGGCTTTTAAAAATCTGCACAGCCAATCAAATCTCCAGTGGCCAATCAGAAGCTGTTGTAAGTCAAGATCAGGCAGCTCTTTCTTTAATCAGTGATTTCAGTTTATTAGAACAGAACATACAACAACACAGAACACACAGATCAACCCCAACTTATATACAGTTTGGAACTGGCTAAACCACACCCCTAGAACAGTAAGGTCCAACCAGAAGTGCGTGCTTAGGACCAATAGGGTTTGTTCCCACCGAAAGTCATAGTCTTCCCTGATTGGTCCATTGCACAACGGCAGCCAATCAGGCTGTTGATTTCATGATACTGAGAGTCTATGGAGCTTGTGACTGAAGCTCAGGCTCATTCTACCATTCAGGCTATCCATATAACACGATACATAACAGAAGCCTTGCTGGGAAAAGCCCCACCTGGCCTCTCTCGCTTTCTAAAAACACTTGGCAAGCACTAGGAATGGTGACTGCAGGAGCTGTGGTACCCACAGGCACCAGTTTGGGGACTGGGCTGGACTATAGGACAGTTCTGTGGACAGGGAACTGGTTAGAGGACCACACCCAAAGAGCGGTGGTCAGTGGCGTTTCATCAAATTGGAGGGAGGTGTCCAGCAGGGTGCCGCAGGGCTCGGTTTTGGGCCTGGATGAAGGGGTAGAAGGGCTACTCATTAAATTTGCTGATGATACCAAATTGGGAGGAGCAGCAAACACCCAAGAAGAGAAAGTTAAAATTCAACAAGACCTGAATACTCTGGAGAAGTGGGCAGTTGCAAACAGGATGCAATCCAACAAAGATAAATGCACAGTATTACATCTGGGCCACAAAAATATCAAGCACAAATACTGGATGGGGGATACGTTTCTGGGGAGAAGTGTATGCAAAAGAGATCTTGGGGTAAGAGAGGACGGTAAACTAAATATGAGCAGTCAGTGTGATGCGGTAGCAAAAAAGGCAAATTCAGTCTTGGGTTGTATTAAAAGGGCCACAGCATCGAAATCGCAGGAGGTCAAGCCCCTCTGTATACTGCCTTGGTCAGGCCACACTTGGAGTTCTGTGTGCAGTTCTGGAGGCCTCACTTCAAAAAGGATGTGGGCAAAATCGAGAGGGTGCAGAAGAGAGCGATGAAGATGATCAGGGGTCTGGAGACTGAGCCCTGCGAGGAAAGGCTAAGGGACTTGGGAATGTTTAGTCTGGAGAAGAGGAGATTGAGGGGGGACATGATTGTTCTCTTTAAATATTTGAAAGGCTGTCATTTGGAGGAGGGCAAGGAGGGGCGAGGCTAACTTTATGTTTGTGCCATACTATGCTTTGATATATTATACTACATCATGATGGATTACAATGTATAGAATGGTTTAGGCTACAGCTTGGATTTTTATGCTGCAAGAAAGTGTGCCATCTAATACCAGGCACTGAATGTATTAGACAGAAAAGTTAGCTCTTTAATTTCTGTGTTGCTAAGCTATAGAGACTGGACTATAGAGCTAAGCATAGTAATATCCTTAAAAAAACTCTCTCTCTCTCTCTCTCTCTCTCTCTCTCTCTCTCTCTCTCTCTCTCTCTCTCTAT